ATCTGTCATCCTAGCACTTGGGAAAGTTCAAGGACAGACTGGGTTATATAGAAGTTCAAGACCGTGGGCTACCTGGTCAGACTCTGTCTGCATTTTTTTTTAACTTTCCATTTACTTGTGTATGGAGGCACATTATTTGTGTATGAATGCACCACAGAGCACACGTGGAGATCAGAGGACAACTGTCCCTCTCCTGGTGTCAAGCACCTTTACCCACTGAACCACTTCACCAGCCTGTCTAAAAAAAACAATTCTTTATTAAAAGAAAAAGAAAAAAGAAAACAAGGCGCAATGCTAACCACGCTTCTCACTGCCGTGACCTTATTTAGGGCATCAACATACACTAGCTGAATGTATAGTCTACACTTGTATTCAACCATGCTTTGTTTTGTACATGCAGCTATCAGAACAGAGTAATTTCTTATGTAAGTTTTCCTTATGACTCCATGAGAACAAATAGTCACCTAAAGTGAATGAACTCTGCTCCAATCCACCGCTGACAACTAACGTTGCTATGATTGACGAACTGTTACTTCCTGGGAAATGGTCAGCGTTTGTGACTGAAGGAAAAACAGGAGCCTGCAGCAACCGGGCTGCACACATCACATGCTCCAAAAAACAAAAACAAAAAAGGATGAACAGCAGGTGTCTCTGAGGAGCTGGATTTATCTCATAACGTATTTTTCTATCTTTCTAACCCCTTGGTAAGAAATGCGGACCATCTTGGTGCGGTATCGAACACCTTTTATTCTGGTACTCAGGAGAGAGGCAGGCAGATCACTGAGTTCTACAAAGTAAGTTCCAGGACAGCCAGAGTTACACAAAGAATCTGTCTCGAAAAGAAACATGCACCGTACAACTACAAGGCAGGCATGGCCGTAGTTTCCGTCCTGAGAAGCCTAGGGCAAGTAGGTTACAAGTCCAAGGCTAGCCTGAGCTCCACAGTGAGACGCTGCCACAGACCCTAAGAGGGGGTGGAGAGGTGGCTCAGAGATCCCACCACTCCTGCAGAGAGCCAGAGGTTGGTTCCCAGCAACCACTCCAGGTAGCTCACTACCGCCATGACTCCAGCTTCCCTCCAACACCCTCTTCCAGCCTCCTCTGGCACCTGCACACATGTGGCACACGTGAACTCAGACAAGCACATACCCACACAGAAGTCAAAACAACTTTTTCATGACAAAAATAAACATGCCTTTCTGAGGGTCATTAGGCATTTCATTAACAGTTGCTAGAGAAGGGAAGGCGCTTTCTTCAGGGGCATAGCCACTGGTAAACTGCCAAAGCAGTCCACCTAGAAGTTTCCCTAAAGAAAAACACTGGGTAACAATAAACAAACAAACAGATAGAAAGGTTCTTTTCTTTTTTTTTTAATAAATATTTTTATGTGCATTGGTGTTTGTCCTACACATATATCTCTATGAGGGTGTCAGATCCTCTGGAACTAGAATCACAGTCATGAGCTGCCTCATGCGTTCTGGGAACTGAACCGGGCCTACGTTCAATCCCCAGTGCCATGTAAACCAGGCTTAGTGGTATGACCTGTAATCCCCGCAGTAAGGTGGAGTCAAAAGAGGTCATAACTCAAGGTCAAGCCAGGCGTGCCCGCACTCACCTTTGAAGGCAGAGGCAGGCTGATCTCTAAATTCAAATATGTCTACATAGTCAATTACAGGCTATCCAAGGCCTGTGAGGCCCTGCCTCAAAACAAAAAAACAATTTTCCAGGTCATCCTCTGTTGCAGAGAGTGTGAGAAGAACATGGGCTACATTAGATGATGTCTTTTAAAGTCTCCAAAAAGAAGACAGGAAAGAGGAGGGGATGAAGCTGGTACAGGTACGGGAACCAGTGAGCCTAGTGCTGGAGGTAGGAGAGGCGATGGCAAAGGTGGCAGCAGAGGCAGGATGATCCCAAGGGCTTTCAGGCCAAACAGTCTAGCTTAAACAGCAGGCTCTATGTTCAGTGAGTAACCCTGTCTCCAAGAACAACTGAAGATCAGCCTCTAGCTTTAGCATGCAAAAAGAGACATTTAGCACCCACCCACCCTCTCTCACACACACACACACACACACACACACACACACACACAAATTAGGATAAATATTAAGTAAAAATGAGTATGTATAAGCAAATTTTTAAAAAGGTGTCTGTTGGGGGCTGGAGAGATGGCTCAGTGGTCAAGAGCTCTGCCTGCTTTTCCAGAGGTGCTGAGTTCAATTCCCAGCAACCACGTGCTGGCTAACAACCACCTATAGCTTCTACTGCTCTCTACTGGCTCTATGTGCAGATGTACATGCACACAGAGCATTCAAAATAAATAAATAAATTAAAAAAAAAAGTGTCTGTCTACATAATACTCATGAAAATTACTGGCTCGTCACTAATCTTCCCCTCATTTTAGAAAAGTGTCAATACCTGTTACTTTCAGAGGCTGACATTACACCAGAACAAACAAGAACCATCCAGATCCAACTGTTCCATTTATAAAATATTTAGTCCACAATGCTGCCCAATTAGAGCATAATCCATAATGAAGACATTACTGCTGACAAGGGAAACAGAACGGGATCTGGGTCATTCTTCCATATCTCTGTTAGTTCTTCTCAAACCAATAAAGGAAAGTCTGTGTTAGCAGAGGATCCAGCGACAGGATCCAGCGACAGAAGCAAATAGGAATGATGACATAATTCATTTCCATCAACTTATCCACACAGGAGAAAGGCAAAAGTAAAAAAAGACCTAATGGATAATTGGGAAATCTCTCTGCCGGCGACTTCCACTGGTGTTTCTCCCTCTGAAGACTGAGTCATCAGCAAGTACTAAGTCAGTGGGCCACAAATACCATGAGGATGCTGGCAACAACAAACTGGTACTGGGTATGAGGCCCCAGGCCCTGTGAGGAAGTCTTTTCCACTCCTAATTTCTCACAGTTCTATGCAGGGGAGATGGAACGGAGAAGCTGGAGTAAATCGCTGGGGCAGCGCCGCCCATGGGCACTGAGCTAGGGTATTAATTCCAAGAGTGAGGCAGTCCTCCCTTCAAAGCCAGCTGAAGGGCCTTCGGCAGATGGCTTACCCAGATGCTTGCTGCCACCAACACTGAGTTGTTCGATCCCTGGGAAGCTCATGGTGGAAGGAGAGAACCAACTCACACAAACTGTCCCGACTCCACACACGTGCAGTGGGACACACAGGTACCTGATTTGTCATTTTTCTTTTGTTTTGTTTACAGATTTATTTGTTTGCTTATTACATATACAATGTTCTGTATATGTACACCTGTACACCAGAAGAGGGCACCAGATTTCATTATAGATGGTTGTGAGCCACCATGTGGTTGCTGGGAATTGAACTCAGGACTTCTGGAAGAACAGCCAGTGCTCTTAACCTCTGAGCCATCTCTCCAGCCCTGTCATTTTTTTTTTTTTTAAAGCCAACTCAAAAAATAATAATATTACGTTACCCAAACAGGGCGTGGTAGCACAGGCCTTTAATCCCAGCTCTTTTGAGGCAGAAGCAGGTAGATCCTTCTCTATAGACTGGAGTTCTAGGACAGCCTGGGCTACATACAGAAACCTTGTCTCAAACAAACAAACAAAACAAAAAATGTTACCCTTTCCCCAGTCACTCCTGACTGTCACCACCATCTCCCTTCCAGCTTAAGGGACGTGTTCTTTGAAATTACTATTTCACATGTCCTATCTCTTGCTACCCTCTCCAAGTGGGACAAACCAAAGACTCTAGTCATTCTGGAAGCCCTTCCTGGTTTCCGCTGATCACAAGTCACCACAGTTGGCCTATTCCTACGAAACGATGTTTTAGCTGATGTAGGTTTATGTGGAGTGTGGGTTTGTGCATGTGGTGATCTCGGCGGACAAGGGAGGTCACTGGATCTCTGAAACTGGAATTAGAGGCAGTTGTGAGCCTCCTAACATGAGTGCTGAAAACTGAACTTGGGTCGCCCGCATGAATACTCCACTGCCCTTATCCGCTGACCAACCCTGTCCCATCCAAACTAGATCCTCATAGTCATACACCGATGTTCTGGGAGTGGACCCTCTGGGAAGTAATTGGGATGAGGTCATCAAAGTGGAGCCCTGTGATGGGAGGGGTGGCTTAGTGAGCCAAGAAACTTGGGCAGAATCCTCACAGCCCTGCCACACAACAAAGCCCTCAGGTACTCTTGGACTTCTCAGCCTCCAGACCTGTGAGCAAAATGAACTTTTACTCCTCATAAATAAGTTACCCGGACTCTAGTATTTTGCTATAGCAACAGACAATGGACTAAGGAGCTTGCATCATTAAACCAAAAGAGGCCATCTCAAAGAATACTGTCTTTTGTAAAAGATGTTTCCCACTTCATTAATGAGGATACACGGTCTCTTATCTGGAACATTATTCATGGTTTCCTACATGCAGACCACTGTTTCAAGCAGCTCCGCCTGCCACTACGGACAGTACTGGTAGGCAACAGGCTGCACAGTCTCCTTTCATTATCACAATGTTCCCATTATACAGATGAGAAAACTAAGGCTGGGAGAAAGGTAAATGAATCTAGCCCAACATTATCTACCTGGTAAATAATTCTCAACTCCACAGTCCCAGCACCTCAGGAGGCTGAAATAGGAGGGTTGCCAGTTCAAGGCCAGCCTGAACTACCCAGCAAACCCCTGTCTCAAAAAACCAAAAGGTTACCCAGGCGTAGTGGCTTACACCTGCAATCCCAGCACTTGGGAAACTGAGGCGGGAGGACTATTGGGACTTCCAGACCAGCTGAGCTACAGAGTGAAATTTCTCAAAACAAAACCACCACCACCACCACCACCACCACCACAACCAAACCCTAAAACTAACTAACTAAATCTGACTCCCAACACCTTAAGGCTTCTGAAGCGCTGGCTTCCCTTGCTTTTAAGGGGCACTCCCTCCTCCTGGACTGTTTGGGAGACCAACCTCCCAGCAGCGGATTGATACACAGACAGGAGTCCCTAATGGACTTACCTGAATCTCTTCGTTTTCATCGACCAGGAGGAAGCTCACGACCCTCTCTGTCATCTTCTTCCTCTTGGTCTCCTCATCCATCTCTTCGCCCTCCAGGGATTCCTGGACCTTACTGACATGATATACAGTAATGGGGTGTCTCCTCTTGTTTCCCCCTGAGTGAGTCCTCTTCTGGCACTCCACGCACAGGTTGATTTTGCAGGTCTGGCACCTCACAGCTGCCCTCTGCCTAACACCCGGAGAATGCCCGTTGGGGCCTTTGCAGGGGTCACAGTAAGGGACGTGGCCGGCTTTGAGTCTTATCCGCTCATGGTTTCGAAGGCGATCCTGCCGATGGAGTTCCTCCTCACAGCGGAGACACTGCAAACTGCAGCACTCATCACATTCGAAGACCGCTTCGTCAGTCCCGCTGCAGGCGTAACTCTCCTGGCACATGAGCCCTGGATTTAGGCCCTTCTCTGCTGGAGAAGTCTGGGCACTCATAACTTAGACTTCCCTGGAAACCACCCACCCTGGAACAGTCACTACTGTCCTCTCCCAGGAATGAAGGAAGACAAAGGCTTTGAGTCTGAAGGCAGCTAGTGCTTCCACAGGGTTCTGAACGCTTTAAAAAAAAAAAAAGAGAGAACCTGTCTGGCTAAGAATTTTTACACCCTCACAAACGTTCGAATTTTTAATTCTCTGCCTCCAAGTCTCTTGTTTCAGCAGCAGTGTCGACCGAGTTTGACGGTTTCATCCTCTGCAAAGTGCAGAGAAAGACGTGATGAAAATGAACTTGATGGAGTCTCTGATGCACGCTGAGAGGTCTGCTGGGCTCACAAAGGTAGGCTCCTCAGCTGGGCCTCAGCCACAAAGTCACAGTGATGAAATAAGGTGGTGAGATACCTGGACCTCAAGCCAGTGTTTCAAGAGCTACCTACAACAGAGGAAGAAGATTTCACTCATGTGGGAAAAAAAGCAGAAGTACACCTTAAAATGAGCAAACAAAAAGAGCACCTAAAGGCTAGGCCAAAACCACTGAGAGAACCCTCATTCTAAAACTGACAGCGGCTTCTTCTAGGACTGGAAATATCATCTCAAAAGCATGCCTAAGGACCTCCCCTCTGAAAACAATCACCATGCTGGAACTGGTGGTACATTTCTACTCCTCGTACTCAAAAGGCTAAAGCAGGGCTACTGGACTACCTACAAAGGTATCATGTCAAAAAACAAGCCAGCTCTGAGGCACATGTACTCCAGAGGCAGAGGAGGATAGAGCTCTGTGCATTCCAGGCCAGCAAAGGCTACACAAAGACTGTCTCAAAACCAACACCTATCAACATCAAAACACTTCTAGGCCCAGAACCTCTAAAAGGTTTTGCAGCTTTGTTGGGAAAAGGCTCTGTTCATCTTACTACATTCTGATTCAAAATCACTAAACAAACAGTCTTTGGGAGACTAGCCCTCCACATCTGCTCCTTACATGTGAGCAGTGGAGAAGGCAGTCTGTGAAAAGCTAAAGAAAAATATAATAAACTTCAGACCTCTCTGAAAGACCTAGACAAACCCAATTATCCTTTTAAGTGTACTGTTTCAGCTCTGGAAAGGTAAAGGCCTAGTAAGGACGCTAAAATTGACAACAATAGTCCCAATTTCACGTTCAGAAACATAAAACAACTACTATGCTTCCTTTTGTCCCTTCTTTCTATAGAAGAAGGGAACTGGGAGCAACAGGAGGCAGAATTCCTGCACTATGGTGCACAGGAGAGCCAGGCCCTATAGTGAGTAAAAACAGCTCATTTTCCCTTGTCACTCAAAAACTTAAAAAAAAAAAAATACACTTGGGGAGAAATAAAAGGGGGTTTGAGGTCACTTCTCCATGTAATTACACTCCTAATTATCCAAGCACTCCCTTCTATTCCAAGAGCACAACAAAGTGTAAAGTCCTCCTTTCAGATATTCACTCCTCCCTTACAGTAACCAATCTCTCCATCTGATCTTCAGATAAACAAGGAACGCAAGGGAGTAACCAGGGAATCTTATTTTTACCCTAACCTCAGACGTGCCCAGTCAGCTCGCAAAAGAGAAACAAAAATCAAAACTTGCCACTACTGAGAAAAACAGAAGACCAACCTTCAGAAGAACACCTGACACCCCCCCCCCCAAAACCCCCCCCACCCCCCCCCCCCCAAACACACCACACACACACACACACACTACCAGGCCAAGCAAACAATCTGCCCTCTCGGAACCCCCACCTCGACGCCTCTCTCCAATCCCGGGTTCCTCACCCCTTCCCTGCTCCCAGATACCACCACCACAACCCAAAGGGTGGCAGCGGAGCCAAGGAACAAAGAAGGCCCCCCCAAATCTCTCACACACCCGCACATCCCGGAGCCGAATCCATTGTTTATGCCACCCCACCCCCACCCGAGCCGCACCCGTCCCCCCTTCCTCCCAGGATCGCCAGAGCCCCGGGACCAGCGCTCTCCCGGGGCTGGGCCGAGACGCCCTCACCCTGCCCGCCGCGGCTCGCAGAGCCCACCCGGAGCAGCTCAGCCACGGCAAGGCGGTGTGAGGGACGCGGGTTGCCGATGGGACCCGGGCTGCTCTAGGGCCCCGGCGGATCCATCCTCAGCTCCATCTCCGCCCCCTCCTCCTATGTTGCCTCCCAGGCTTCCTCCTCTCTTGTTGTCAGTTGGAATCAGCTGATCAGAGTGAACTTCTCCCTGCTCCAACCAACAGGAAGGCATGAACAGCGCAGCCCAGCGAAGGAGGAGCGGCCGGGGGCGGAGCGGAACGACGGCGGGGCGGGAAGGGCGCGCGCGGCCTTTGGGGAGTTGTAGTTTTCTGGGTTGTCCTTCTCCCTCCTACAACCCAGAAATACGGGCTCCGGATGACTACAATTCCCAGATGGAAACGTCGCCCTTGCGAACAGGCTGTGCGGACAGACCAGCAAGCATTTCGGGACTTGGAGTCTCGGCAGGGACTATGGGTTTTTGCAGGTTGCAGTGCGTTTGTTAGCGCAATGGCCTGGGAAAAAGTATTGTAAACTAGACAAATGATATAATGTTCTATACAGGAGGGAAATGGCACGGCGCATTATTATTATACATACTTCCTTCAGAAATGCTGAAAGTGAGAAAACACCAGTTAACATTGAGAGGATAATAGTATGTGTTTTGTTTTTTCTTCAAAGGTATTCAAACCCACTGTTTTGTTCCTACCTAGTCTTTTTCTGTCTTTTTCCCTATATAGGCTGTATAACTTCTAATTTTTAAATTGTGCAAGATAGCTGGGGTACACACTCCAGTAAAATTTAAGATTAGAGTGCAGTGCCTGCTAATGTTAATCCTGTTATCTGACTTTTTAAAAACAGCTTTGTATTTGTTTAGTACTTTCACTTTTTTCTCATTTATTTCATGGGACACATGGAAACGTTCCTAGTCTGTAATGGCTAGGAAAACTAACTATGTAGGTGGGTAGGGGGAATCACTCATAATCACTCACATAAAATGCGAGTAAATCACTCTCCAAAGAAATAAAGGAATTTTGCTGTGTAACTTCTGAAGGCTCTGCCAACTTTAATGTCATATGATTTTATCTCGATAATGGTTAACCTGAGGGAGAAAACTAAGGTTAAGTTACTTGCCAAGGTACACAGCAAATTACTGACAACAGTGAATAAGACCTCACCTCCTAACTTAAGTAAGACATCCTTTTGCCTTCTCTTTCAAAGGACATAATTAGATCAGTAGTCAAACCAAATCTACAAAATGGTGAGTGAGCTATGTATATGCATTGTATTACTGAAAATTATCTCTTCACAACAGAGAGCTGACAGTGGACAGCCTTGGTAAGGAGCCTTTTTTCCTCCCTGCACCACATTGCAAACCAGGGTAGTAAGAACTAAGCTACCTGCGTCACTTTAAAAATTGTTTTTATTAGAAATAAGATGGTGTGGGGAAAGGAAAGAAGGGACGTTTCAAACAAGCCTGAGATTGATTGCGTGACAAAGGTTTTATTCCTAGGACTGCCTCCGTGACCACGTGTAGCTCTGCCAGATTATTTCACAACCTTGCTTATAAAATAAAGACATTGGCCTGTGCGAGTAGCTCAGTAGAGATCGCTTGCCTGGCATACACAAGGCTCTGGGTTTGATCCCCAGCACACATACACACACACACACACACACACACAAAATGAGAATGTTAAAATATCATAGGAACAAACATTTAGCGTCTTAAGTTTTACTTAAAAAGTTATTTTGTGGGGGAGGGGGTGCCGGTGTGTGTGCCCGTGTGTGCAGGTGCATGTTTAGGCCAGAGGCCTAATAATCTTAGCTAGTGTTCCTCAGGAGCCCATCTACCTTGTTCTGTTGAGGGTTTGGGAGAGGTGTGCTTGTTTGCTGTTTGTTGTTGTTGTTGTTTTGTTTGGGTTTTTTTGTGTGTGTGTTTTTTTTTTTTTTTTTTTTTTGGTTGGTTGGATTTGGCTGTTTGTTGTTTGTTTGAGATCTCTTTTAGTCTGAATGGTTACCAAGAAGGCTAGACCGGCTAGCCAGTGAACCCCAAAGATCCTCCTGTCTTTGTTGCCCAGAACTAGGGTTAGAAGCATATGCCACAATGCCTGGTGTACTAGGGTTCTCTAGAAGAACAGAACCAAGAGAATGAATATTTATAAAAATGGAAATTAATTAGATTGGTGTCTTAGTTAGGGGTTCCTATTGCTGGGATGAAAGACCATGACCAAAAAGTATGTTGGGGAGGAAAAGGTTTACTGGACTTATACTTCCACATTGTAGCCCATCACCAAAAGAAGGCAGAACAGGAACTCAAACAGGGAGTGAACCTGGAGCCAGAAGCTAATGCAGAGGCCATGGAGGGGTGCTGCTTACTGGCTTGCTCCCCTATGGCTTGCTCAGCCTGCTTTCTTACAGAACCCAGGACCACCAGCCCAGGGATGGCACCACCCACAATGGGCTGGGCCATCAGATACTAAGAAAATGCCTCACTGCCAGATCTTATGGAGGCATTTTCCTCAAGGGAAGTTCTGATGACTCTAGCTATGTCCAGCTGACATAAAACTAGCAAGTACGATCGGCTTACACAATATGCTCTAGGCAGTACAACAATGGCTGCCTTTGCATTGGAGAGGCTGAGAACCTAGTTGCTGCTCAATCCATGAGACCTCAGTTGTCCCAGTCTGGCACTGAAGGCCTGGAGGATTTCTGGAAAAATCGTTGGTCTTCAGTGAGCATTGGAAGGCTTAAGAGTCCTTTCAGCAAAGAATGGCAGCAAGAGTGGAGGGATGGCAGAATGCCAACCGAGTAGATGAAATTGCCAGCACAATGAAGGCAAGGAGGTAGAAAGCAAGAATTTTTTGGACTTACTTTTTATCTGGACTGAAAGTTGCTATTCACATTTAGGGTGAGTCTTCCCACTTCAGTTAAACTGGTCAAGACACTCCTTCACAGCCCAGAGTGGTGGTGAGAGACCAAAAGATTAAAAATTAGCAGCTATTATTTAAGGCCTGAACTAGGTGGGTGGAGAAGTCTAGTAATGCCCTGAGGGGAAGGACCGCCTTACTTCATTCTTTCCCCACCCACTAGAGAAGGGAAACTGGCCCAGTTGCTAGGAAACTGGCCCATCCCCCTGGGGAGGGACACCAGGTCATTATGGTCTGGGGACCTTCCTATAGCCAATCAATTCAAAATGCAGCATTTTGATCAATAGATGCTTGCGAGGCAGGAGTTGCCCCTGCCTTGGGCATGCTGGGATGGACCAGAATCTATGTATCACCCAACTAACCTGGACACAGGGCTCTAGGCTCCTACCGCTTCAGCGGTGGGGGGTGTGGGCCCAAGCTGCAGCTTGTAATGATTTACAATAAAAAGAACCTCATGTATTTACAGCGGAGTCTGTTTATTCCTGCTCTTTTGGGGTTCGTGAACTGGGCAGAACAGTGGTACTGCATGCCTTCCATCCTAACACTCCAGAGGCAGAGGCAGGCAGATCTCTGTTAGTTCAAGGCCAACCTGGTCTATTTAGTGAGTTCCTGGCTAGCCAAAGGTACACATGGAGACTATGTCTCAGAGCAAAAGGTCCAGGAAGGGGAACACAATAACCTTCCCTTACAGCTTATCTGTTAGTTGAGTACAGAACCAGTCAAGAGTAACCCTCACAGCCTATGTGAACTTACAGGGTTTAACCTAGGTCACTTAAATGCATGCGCAACAAGCACTTTACCCAAACCCCAACCCCACATTAAATGGTAACCCTAAGAAAAATTCCTAAAACTGTGGAAAACGGTTCCCTCCAGGGAAGACAACTAAGGTGTAGAAAAAGAAAGTTATTTTTGTTTCTTTTTTTACATGTATGTGCATGTCCCTGAGGTGTGAGGTGTGCCTGTGTACCACCACCTGCATACATGAGCCCACAGATGTCAGAAGGAGGCATGGGATCAGCTGGAACCGCAGTTACAGTTGTGAGACTAACTACATGTTCTAGGAAATTCAGGCCCTCAGCAAGAACAGTGAGTGCTCTTAAAGCCTGCACCATCTCTCCAACCCCAGAAAGGTGTTTGCATTTTGTTTTGTTTTGCTTTTCTGCAAGACAATGAACCCAAGGTTCTTGAATCCTTTCACTGCAGAAACACAATGTCAGGAACAATGGGGAAACCTAGTTTTGTTTCTTTTATCAGCTACTTAGGTTTGTCAGATTTTTTTTTTTTTAATTTTCAATGGGTTTTGCTCTTTTCCATTCTTTCCACACTTGGTTGTTTTGGTTTGGTTTCGTTTTACTGAGACCTACATTTTTACTGGAATGTTGCCTATGAGGATTCCTTAAGAGCAGTCAGTTAAGAGCACTGACCACTCTTCCAGAGGACCAGGGTTCAATTCCCAGCAGCCACGTGGCAGCTCACAGCTGTCTATAACTCCAAGATCTGACACCCTCACACAGACATACATGCAAGCAAGACACCGATACACAGAAAATAAAAAGAAATTAAATTTTTAAAAAACGTTAAAAGAAAAATGCAGCAACTAACATTATGGGAAAGCCCTGAAGGTCTATCTATTGATGTAAGGATTAATAGCTATGTAGGAGAGAGGGAGTCTAAGCTCCAGACAGTAATGGTGTCCTGGAAAGAGCGCCTGGAGCCAGAACAAGCTGAGACAGGGTAGGCCGGACAGCAGAACGCCTGACAGAGAACTGAAGCCCAAGAGGAGCACGTCTCTTGTAAGTGGCTACAGGTGACTCTAACATTGCTAACACTGGGAACAACAAGGATCCCTTCTGAGCACCTGCAGTCACGGTTTCACCATCATGAGGGCCAAAGGATAGCATCAACGCGACCACAGGCTGGCGGTGCTCGGGAATGCACAGTGAACACTAGCCACAGTGGATGGGAACGGAAACCCTTTCTGAGGGAAGGCAGTCCTCAATTCACAGAGACAAAATCCCATGAACAAGCATCAGCACAGAGGGCTGCCAAGACGGCTCAGCGTGTCAGGACACTTGCTGCCAAGCCTGACGACCTGAGCTCAATCCCCAGGACCCACACGGTGGAAAGAGAAGAAGCCAACTCACAAAGGTTGTCCTCCGACCTCAGGCACTGTGGCACGCATGTGTTCACACATACATACAAACACATTCAATCAATTAATCAATTAGCTAATTAAAAACAGAGATGGCTAGGCAGTTGACAGCACTTTCTGCTCTTCCAG